ACTTTGGCTATGAGAAGTAAAGGTTTTTTTTTCTTTTTAGTATAACCACCGAAAGTCCCTCATATTCATTAAGTGCTTTGGGGTAAATTTAGGAAGTTGCGCATACTTTTCCTCTCATGCTCAATTAGTCAATGCCATCAAAAGTAGCCATTGGTAGTAGACTCTCCTGGCGATGAATTCTTCTCATCTCTATAGGCACATCCCTTTTTAATGTGACTTGTCTATTACTCTTACCAAGAGACAGAATATATTTCTATATCTCTTGAATTTGATCTGGCATCATTACTTGTTTTGATGCACATATTGTAGGGATATGATACTGTGTGATATCCCAGTTTAGGCCTCATGAGGCTTTGAAGGTTCCATTCTCACTTTCTTGGATCCCTGAGCCCTCCGTGTGAAGGTTTGGGCTAGCATATTTAAGGATAAGAGAACATGTGGAAAGAGATGCCAGCAGCAACTTCCAGACATGAGTGTGAGGACATCTTATATTATTCAGCCCCAGTCATGCTGTCAGAAATCTGAAATCACATTGGTGTCTCCAGGAGATATGAGCAGAAGAACTGTCCAACTGAACTCAGCTCAAATTGTGGATTCCCAGAATTATGAGCAATAAAAAGGTGGTTGTTTTAATCCACTAGGTTTTGGGGTTGTGAAATAAATTGTTAAATGATACACAGCCCTAGCTAATTGTCTAAGAATTCTTCATCCCATCATCTTGAGTATGGGCTTTACTTAGTGACTCATTTCTAATGAATAGAATGTGAAGTAACCATCTGTGACATCCAAGATTGGGACCTAAAAGCTACTGTGGCTTCCTCCTTGCTCTTTCTCTTGGATCACTCATTCTGGTGAAGCTAGCTGTCATGTTTTGAGGACACTTAGGCAAACTTATGTAAGTGAGAGAGCCATCTTGGAAGGAGATCCTTCAGCCTCAATAAAACCTTCTGGTAACCAAATTCCAGCCAATACCTTTACAACAACCTTGTGAGAGGCAGAATCACACAGCTAAGTCACTTCCAAATTCCTGATCCACAGTAAATGTGAGATAATGTTTATTTTTTGTACTGCTAAATTTGACATAAATTGTTACGTAACCATAGACAGCTAATACAGACACCAAGGCCTCGAGATCTTGATGAAACCAAAGAAAAGGTATCGGTCAAAGAGATTAAAGGATAATAGCTTTGGGCATGGAAAAGGATGTTTTAATATATGATTTTAGAGGTGAAGTAGTTCTCCTAGTGATACCAAAGTCAAAGTATGGCCATTGTTATGGGTGGCTGAAGTAGAATAGGTGTAAAGGTGACTGGAGATGAGGATATCATGTGTCTACAAGAATACTGAAGTTACCCATGATGACCAAATACTCTTACAGAATCCTAGAATGTTGATGCTAGAAATGGTATACCATTGTAAGTCATCTAGTCCATCTAAGTGGACTGGATTAGTTTCTCAACGTGTGACCCAAGGAAAACCCATGCGAAAAACAACTAAGGAACTTTTGCAAAATTCCCTTACATTAGAAGAGATGAGTACTAATATCCTTAGTATCCAGGAGTCTTTATCAAATTGTCCAGGTGATTCTTATGCACACTAACTTTCAGCACCTCTGGTCTAGTTCAGCTCCTTTATTTAATAAGACTTCTCTTTCAGAGGCCAAGATCCTAATTCAATTCTAATACTTCCCACTACACAAAGCTGCCTTTTGTGCCCAAAGCAATCAGTAGCAATTGGTAAATCTACAATAAAAAGTCAAACAATATTTAAATAATGTTTAAGTTAAACATTTTTTAAAAGGAAAATTGGAAATCTCTACATATTATTTGGCTACTTCCTGACTCTTCTATCACTTCTGCCCTATTCATGATGTTCCAATAAGTTCGTTCCCACCTCAGCGTTTTTGAATTTGTTGTTCCTTCTGCCTGAACACTCAGATATTCTTGTGAGTGGCCCCTCTTGTTACTTAAGTCTCAGTTCAAGTGTCTGCTCCTTGAAGAAGTACTCTCTGTCCTCCCAGTCTGAAGTAAGTCCCACCCCAATCTACTCACCTTCTATAGTGCTTATCATTATTCAAAATGATCTTACTTATTTTTTGTTTTGTGGTAAAAAATTTATACTTAAGCTCCACATGAGACCATAAATGTGTCTATTTTGTTCATTACTTCATACTTAGCACCTAGAGTAATGACAGGCTGTGGTGCCCTATGGGCAGGAGTAGGAGTAATCAGACCTGAGGGCAGTAAGAGAATAGATAATCTGTAGCGAACTTAAAATCAATAATAAAAAGAAATGAAACGAAATCATTCTGATTTTTATTATCTTTACACACTGACAATTCTAAGCAACGTCAGTGATAAAATGTTCCTCCCCTAGGAAAACCCTTTTTTCAGTCTAAGTTCTAAACAATTTTCATAGCTAGTGTTGAGTTTTAATAGTATATATGTAACCTTGAAATTAGCACATTTTGATAATTTATCCTCTAACAAGCATTGTATTCTTCATGAAAGTTAATTTGGAGAATTCCCAGTTATACAGTGGATCTCCAAAAATATGTTGACTGACCTACACACAACCATTTAGAGAATATGTTCACAAAGTTTCCAAATTTTGAAGTTCAGTTTGGTGCATTTTGTGTCTCCATCCCCTGTATTATATATCTCTGCATTTAAACAGTAGATTAGAAGTGAACAGTGATAGCACAGTGATTGTAAAAGAGAAACATAACATGGGTTTTTTCAATTCTGCCCTCTTATGTGACCATTTGCTTTTCATTCATGTTTAAAATTTTAAACACTGAAACAGTACAAACTTCGAGGTGTAATTTTTTTGTTTGGAAAATCTCATACATGAGATTCATTTAACTCACGCATAAAATACTTTGCTGAATTTGAATTTTTCTGGTGTGAACCTTTAGATGAGGTTCTGACAGAAAAATATGTGCAAACAGCCAGAACTAGTTTCAGCAACGCACAGTGAAAATTTGTTTTAAATTGTTCCTTGAAGAATTCCTTTAAATTGTTCCCTGCAGAAATTGTGGAGAATCCATTTACTACTCAATAACACATATAAGAAAACAGATATTTTTCTAGAAAAAATAAGCATATTTGAAAAACAACAGCAAGAAAAATGGCAAAAGATGCTTGTTTGACATTTCCAGAAGAAACCAAAAGGGGAGTATCTGAATGACATGTTCATCTCCACCAAGCAGTGGATACCTCTTCTAAAGCAGTAGATCAAATGATGTCCAAACTTCCTCTTATTTAGACATTTTCACGGATTTTTCCAGAAGAAGATTTTTTTTGCAGTTTTAACGACTATTATAGAAACTTATGACTAATTCTGGTGATATTTCAGTTGAAATTTTCAACTACAGAAAATTTGAATTTGTCTGGATTTGGTCCTGAAGAAACAAAAACAAGTATGGTATTTTAGTTCATGGAACTTCTGAGAAAAGGATTTTTATGGTTCTCTTCCAAACTTATTCACAATTTTAAGACCTCCTATTTGTATACCTGTTGCATAATATGAAATAAAATTTACTAATATTGAAATTAATGAGTGTTCATCTATCAACTATTAACAAAGAGAAATCTACCTTACACCATCTACTGAATATGTAGACATATTATTTTAATGAAGTCATTGACAAATATACAGGTGTTAAAGCTCAAAAGTAGAAACTGTAATCTTATTATTCATTAGACCAATACCTTTATAAGTTCTTTTTTCTTTAAAAATGCATTAATGCAGTTAGAAAACATTGGTCCATTACTGTTCTCCTTCTTTTGTACTGTAATATTTATTTTCTATTTTATTTTGTTAGCTTGCTATAATATTTTTGTCTATAATAGACATGATGTTCAATAAAAGAAAAATTTCACTATTTCTTTTATGGCTGTTATTACTAGGTTAATTTCATCATTTCTTAAAATAATTTTGTCATATAGAGAAGGCTATTCAAAAATGGTAAGCTTTGAGTGTCAAATATGCTAGCTATGTCACTGATGCCTGTCATATAGTTTTCACTTAAATATTTGTTGAATGAACAAATGAATTAATATTGGATATGTTGATGGGCAGATTATGTGCATCTTCCTTCCTTAGAATAACTCACTGGAAACCTAGGGGAGATCTGCTCCTATTGAAAATGTTGCACCTAGCCACAGATATTCTTACAGAACCAAAACAATTCTTTTAAAATCTAACTTAGATCATGCCACATCTTTGCTCAAAGTCCTCCACTGACTTCCCAACTTTTTCAGAATCTAATCTAAAGTTCATATGAGGACACAAAAAGGCCCTACAAAGTGTGTTATTTCACTCCCTCTTAACTTACCGCTCCAGCCACACTGGTCTTTTCTCATTGCTGTTCCTTCATTGCGTTCTATGGAACGCTGTTCCCTGAATTCCTTTAGAACTTTTCTCAAATGTCACCTTATCAGAAAGCCTTTCCCTAACCCATCTAAACCAGTAAATTCTCACCGCATCCTCATACTGGTTTATTTTCCTTCACAGTACTTGGCACTGTGTACATTTGTCTCTTTTCCTCCTAGAACCTTAAGATCCATGAGGGAAGGCGCTGTGCTTTGTTCTGTACCTTGAACAAGTGCCTGACTTATAGTAGGCGCTTAGTGACATAGTCAAGCATGTATGAACTTGCCTTTGTATGGTAGAGGTAATACACTCTTTTTGTTGACAGTAGTTGTGTGTTTACGGCAGCTGGACTTGGGTTTTCAATCCTTATCTAGACAAATCATATATGCCTGAAACAACGAAAATAACGAAAAGTTCTGCAACCAGCAAATAGCTTTCAACTGGACTGTGGGGACTACTCTGAAAGGTTTTATTTATCAGGTACAGGAGCAGTCAAACTTAAGGATCAATCTTTTCTCCGGACAATAGCTGACCAACTGCAACTTTCCCAAAGCAGCTCTAGGCGAGCGGAGAAAGGGCGGAACCAACAGACAGCGGACGTAACTGGGCGGGGCTGTTGCGAGGGCCCCCGAGTCGAACTCTTTTGTCCCTCTCTGCTCGCCTTAGGAAAACTGGGGCGGAGGAGTCACAGATATGGCTTCTTTCAGGGTAAGTAAAAAAAAAAAAACCTTGCGTAGTTTCTCTGGGTGCGGATAGCATTTTAGGAACTAAGGAAGGGATGATCCTAATTTCGGAAGGGAGTCCCACAGCAAGAGGCGGCGGAGGTGGGCTTGTGAGAGAATGGGTGGGGTCTGAGAATCTTAACGCTTAAAGCCTCAGAACGCCTGCCTCTCCCCTTTGGATTTCTTCAGCCTGGAAATGTACTCTCTCCTCAGATCCCTGTGGTCGACCGTTTACTTATTCAACGGCACAGGAAAAACTGGGGGACGGCTGGGCGAAAATGGCCAGCCGGGTGACGAGCAGCTGCAGACATTTGGGTCTCGAGCAGAAAGAAAAGAACGCCGGGCATTTGTCTGGGTGCACAGGGCAGGGCCTCATGACCTCTTGAAGTACTTGGTTCAAACATTATTTGGGCTGAAATAGACCAGGAGGGAGACGTCTCAGAGTATCTCTGCAGTGCGCGGGTTTGTATTCACTGTTGTTACAATGGGTTTGAATAACAGACGCTAAGTTTTTTTTAAGTTCTGTAATGGGAAAACGTCCCTTTATTCAGGAATCTGTGTGCAGGAAGTGACTCAGCTGGCTGCTAGCTGCAGTTCCCTACGTCGGTTTCAATAACGTACTTGTAGCAGGTTTTAAGTGTAAAATTTACTGCTTGCAGGAAATATAGATATGAATAATTCAGTTCACCAATGTTTAAGTTGCCTTTGTATCTGAATTAATTCTTCCTTCTCACTCCATTTCTGCAGTTCTAGCTCTCATAATTTATCTGAATTATCACAACACCCTTCTAAATATACTTGCTGCCCCTAGCCTGGCTCTGATGGAATCTTTTTTCCCCTGCATTGCCAGAGTACTTCTACTAAAATGCGAATCTGATTATACCTCTCTCCTGTTTAAAAACCTTTGTTGGCCCTCCATCATCTGCTCTCTGATATCAGGTCGGATTCCTGTGTCCAGAACACCCGACCCTGCCTTGGCTTTCCAGCTTCAATTCCTGTCTCTTAGGAACTCTCCTAATGTATGTACTCCGAGCTTTTTCCTCTTCTCTTTCACTGGGCTTGAAGTGCCCTTTCCTATACTCATCTAGTTAGTTCCTATCATAGTTAATTAATTCACTTAACAGATATTTGTATACTACCTCCCTATATGCTTAGCACAAAATGCCTTTTTCAAGGTAGTGTCCCCCACCACCCTAGTCTAATTTAAATAACTCCTCTTTGTACTCCCAGAAGATTCTGGGCATACTCTTACCATAGGACTTACCACACTGTAAATATTAGACTATTTACTTATCTGTTTTACCCTCCTAAACTATAAGTTACTCGAGATTAATTATATTAATTTTTATGTTAGGTATGACTTATACTAGATACTCAATAAATTCTACATGAATAAATAAATGCCATGTAATGAAGATAAAAGAGATTAAATGAAGCAGCAGAGATGCAGCATATAACACAAATGATGTGATCCAGAGTAAGGCAAATGCCTTGTCTCAGAAGTACAAAGTGGTCTGAGGGTTTAAAAGAAAATTCATGCCTGGTTGAAGAGAGTAAAGGAAGACTTCATGGAAGAGGTACAGAGAGAGAAGAAATGGTCAGTGGTAAAAAGCAAACCAGAACAGTGTGTTGTCACTGAAGTCTAGAGAAGAAGACAGTTGTCAAGTCTTTATTTGGCTATTAATAAGTCACTGGCAGCTGCCATTTATTAAGTGTTTCCTACAAGGCCAGGCACCATGCTAAAATACCTTACATATGTTATTTCACTTAATTCTCAAGACAACTTCATGTTGTAGATATTATGATCACAATTTTACAAATGAAAACCTAAGGTTTAGAGAAATCAAGTAAATTTCCCAAAGTCATAATGATAATAAGAACTGAAGTGAGATGAAGAGGTATATGAGTAAAGTGGTAGAGTGGAACCAAGGTTATAAGGGGTTAAGGAAAGGATAAGGAGTAGGAAACTGGCATTCATTTAGCACATACTTTGGCCAGCTGCTTTACATATATTATTTCAGTTTAATTCTCTTGACAGCCCTACAAAATGGGTCATGTTCCATTTTACATATGAAAAAACTGACACTTAGAAAAAGTGCTTGCTACATACAGGTCATACAGTTGCTAAGTGCAGGAGCCACATTCAAACACAGGTATATTTGACTTCACAGTCCATGATCTTTCTACTACTCCTTGCTCCCTCTGAAAGGAAGGTATATATTACTCTAAATTTAGAGAAGTGTGGTAAAGGGGAGGCAAAAAATCTTGGATGGGGGTAGGAAATTACAAGAAAAGAGTCTTTTCTTAAAAAAAAAAAAGTCAGGAGACTATATGTCAGTTATGTCTCAAAACTGAGGGGAAAAAATGTCAGGAGGTTTGGAGACAAGGGGAATGTTCCAAGAACTACTTTAGAGGAAAGATACTAGTAGTAATCACAGCTATTATGTTATTGACTATTTACTGTGCTGGCATTTTGCCAAGCACTTTGTATGAATTTTCTCATGTGTGCTTCACAGTGGTCTTATGAGTAGATACTGTCATTACTGGCATTTTCCAGGTAAGGAAACTGAAGCTTAGAAAGGTTGAGTAACTTGCCCACAGTCTTACAGTAGCGAGCCATAGAGCTGGATTTGAAATCACATGATCTAAATCCAGATTGTGAGACTTAAGCTTGAGGAAGCATCTGTGAGGCCAAGGTACCTAAAAGGTGATCTGTGTTAATTTTGAAGCCCCAGTGCTTAATAACAAAGAGTAAGGTAGAGAGGAGTTCTGAGGGTTGGTAGATAACTCTGAAAATAGTTTAAATACATCTTGAAGTTTAAGAACCTCATAAGCAGATGTGATAGTAGAACACTGATGTGGAATTAGCTTTAAGGAGCAAGAATGGTGCTGCATGTGGACTGCCCTGGAGATGGATGGGATTCTAGTACTTGACCTGCCACCACAAGAATAAAGCTAGGTATAAACCCTTTTACTCCAAGAACATTCCGTTGTCATTTTTCAGTCCTGTGGGATCCATCATGAACTTGCTTGAGGCTGAAACCCTCAGGCGAGATATTTGGCATAGCCAGCAGGATTCACTGCAGACCAGAAAAATGGAATAAGCTGCCCTCATGAGTCGGGGGGTACTTCAGTGGACTGTCCCTATGGATGGGGGTATACTCAGTTATCCCCTGATGGGCATGTGGTGTGAAGTGACTTGCCTTCTAGAAGGTAGGGTCCCTCCCCAGGACTAGGTGTTAGGTGGAGGTGACACCTGAGGCAGTAGAGGAGGCCCTCTGCAAAATAGGGAATTCCTTAAAGAAGCAGTGTGCTCCAAGTGGCACCAACTGTGTGCTGACTACTTCTTACCTTGTTAAGAAAGTCCATAAAAGAGACGATGTACTTCTGTGAGAAGCAAAGGAAGAGGCAGTACAAGAACATGAGGTGAGAGTTGCTATAGAGGAGGTAAAAGATTTGTTGATGACTGAGATGGCATCACTACAAGGTGCTGTGGAGGTGGTAAAGGATGTAATGGTAGCATGAGAAAAAGCATGAGAATGCAGACTGTGATGTGCTGTGGGGGAGGTGAAGTAAATAGTGGTGCCATCAGCTCCAGAAGTGGTAGAGGATACATCAGAGAAGGATGAGGGTGTGGAGATGGTCCCAGTTGAAGTCACCTGGTTGTAGTCAAGAAAATAAAGATGCAGCAACCACATGTTCCTCTAGGAGAGGTGCAGCTCTCTCCCCAGGTCGTGGAGCACTCTATGCTCCACCCCTATACACAGGCTGAGCTGGTGGATTTCGGCTCCTGGTTTCCACAGAAGCCCTGATAGTCAGTATCAGCCTGGATCTTGTGTCTTTGGGATCTAGGGGTGGATGGGATTATTCTGTCCAGATCAGGAAGGGGAAAGCTGGCTTCCCTGACAGGTCATCCTGCCTTTAGGTAGCAACCACAAAATGCACATCAGACCCTAGGAAATCACTTCCTCCACTATTGGCTTATGGCCACACTTTGCACTGTATGTCCCAGTCAGGGTGGTTTACCATCTTCCCTTGCTAGATGGCAGACATATGCCAAACTCCAATGGGTGTTAACCAGAGTTAGGCATGAAAAATGCCATTTATAATCCAGTGAGTCATGGCCCAGATGAGACTTTACTGCAGGAATGAGAAATGTGCTTCAAACAGCTCACCCATCCCTCTTTGGGCCCCTAGTGGCCATTCTTGCCCCTCACTTAGGGAAGCCCTTATGTGAGGTTACCCATACAGTAGCAGACTTGGGAGAGGCTGAAGCAATGCGAGCATGGAAGGAAATATGATCCACTACTCAGAGGAAGAGTTTAAAGGACCCTGTGAAGATCACTAGAACCTAGATGTGGACTGATTTGATAAAGGCCAGAGCAGAGAGAAATTGGATGAAAAATCAAAACATTACTGGAACTGTGGCAACAATTAAAGCTGGAGCAGTGGTTTCCCCAGTTAACTAAAGTGAGGAACAGGAAATGGAGGCCAGAGCCAAAGCCACAAGCCCAGGCTGTGTGCCTGCAGGACTTTCAGCTGGAGAGTGAGCTGACCCTGCCTGTACTCTCACAGAAAGACTATTGGGCAATATTGTTTGTCTGGAGAGGGTCAAGGCATATCAATTCATTGGCCCCCAGTGAATGTACAATGTGTCCTGGCTCTGATAGACACAGGAGTGGAGTGCTCATTGATTTATGGCAACCCTGAGTGGTTTCCTGGGTCCCCCACTGTTATAGATATGGGGATAAGGTTATCAGTGAAACAAGCCTGAATCCTGTTGGGAATAGGGCATTTAATACTGTGTATGATGTTATGCTTACTTCTGATTCTTTTACAAATGTAGCATTATTGTGGGAGGTTTTGGGTTTTTGGGCTACTGGAAAAGTGTGTATCCTGCACGTGGCACAAATTCTGAGGCCCTTTTGCTGTTTGATATAAAAGGGTGTCACATGGGGGTGGGATGAAACATGTGCAGTTGCCTTT